TGGAAACCAGATATGTGTAAGAGAAGTCGCAACCAAGTCAAGTATTTTTTAAAATGCTATCTGATGTTTTATTCAATCCCAGATGCTGTAAACAATGCAACATTGTGAAAGCGTACTTGCACAGGTAGGCAAATTTAATTTTCAGTAAGTTCTTGCAAATAAACAATGAAAGAAAAAAAATCAGTATAGCAGCAGCTGAAGATTCTAACTATCAGAAACTGAGCTGTAATGAGGGAGATGTTTTGATATTGCAATCATGTTAAACCTCGAAGGCTGAATTACAGCCATAGAGTGCATAAAGCATGAGTCGGTCCAGTCTGTGAAATATTATAACATGAGAGAAATAAGAGACAGGGAGAGACAGAAACAGAGAGAGAAAGAGAGAGCGATGGACTGGCAAGACTGTAAAGTTCAGGGCTATAAATTAGAATCCTGTGTCTTGTTTCTAAAGGTCTCCCAGTGAATAAATACTAGGCAGGTCACACCAGCATGTGGCTGTAAACGTGCGGTCAAGGCTAAAACAACTTCTCTCCATGAAATGTGTCTGTGCTCTTTTGTATTCATGTTCATGGATAAATATGTTGGTATGTAAGCAATTCAAATGAGAGACTGTGTGCATATGCACATTTCAAGCTTCCTTCGACACTTTTGTCAGCTGTTGAGCTCTCTTACTTGTCTGTATGTGTGTTTGAGCGTCCAGTAAGCAAAAATTGGGTATTGTTAGGAGTGGTCATGTCATGCAAGTCATTCCCCAATTTTTGCAGGCATTCTGCAGCATTTATTTCAGGTCATTGAAACATCATATACAGACTCCTACTACAAGGGAAACCCCTTTAGCGTAATTTTTAGAGTGAAGCAACAATAAAAACTACAAAAGTTCGCTTTAAAAGGTAGGTGGTGTGCCAGATGATACAAATCACAAGTGTTTATTGGGTATTTTACTGAGTAAAAATACACCCTTTCATAGTGTTAAGTACGTGTTTTAAAGCAAACTTCTCCCATTTGCATGTCTTTTGTTTTTATGTTACTCGCAGTGATAACAGAAGCAGAGCACTACACACTACTGGCTCAATAGCACTGCCCTGCACTTTGTAAAATGACCGTACGCAAGTAACCAGCATGCTATAATATGATAAAGTGTTAGTATGTTACAACTTGGAATTGAGAACAGGTCTTCTTTCGTCAAGCCATCCTTTTGCATCAAACAGAATATATGTGTACGCATTTGTATTTAACATCAATATAAAGTTGGAGTTTTTGCATATAGTATTATCCTGGATTCAGAAACAAACACAGTCAAACTTTGTTTAACTGTAAGACAACACATATGGCTTTCTGTACACTTTGTGTATAAGCAATGCAATCTGCTCTAACAACCCACATTTGCTTGTAGTTCTGCTGCAGACTAACAAGTTAGTCCAATTTACAATATTCTTCAAAGAGGAAGTGAATAATTAGGTCGACAGATCACAGCAGCAGATGCACCACAGGACAGGAATAATTTGTGCTTGTTTTTTTGTGTTGTGGTTCTAGATAGAAAACATTGCTATGACAGTATGTGACAACAAAAACAATGTTTCACTTGTGGTTTAAATTGTACATTTTCAAGCAGGCGTTTGATGAATTATAAGCTGGTCAGAATTATTTTCGCTTCTGTGCCTTGAATTAAAGGTGCAGTATTCAGAAGAATGCCTTCTGTTGTCTAAACCTGAGAAACATGAGCTCAAAACAGCAATCAGATACCCTAAATGCTCCAGTCTATAGGCAG